ATTCCCTGGACGTGGCCCGCGATGTAAAACGAGTTTGACATCCCTGGATTTTAAGGTTTTAAGGCAACACTACTTTTTGCCACATCTCAGTATAATTATTATATCTTTATCAGTGGTTTTGATAATAAAGTCAGTCAGTTTTTTTTGCCCAAGTTCAAATCTGTGCTCATTGGACAAAAGAATCACAGTAATGTCACGTGTACATCTGCTATTGACTGATGTGCCATTTGGCTCATGTATAAACTTATTACTCAGATACTTAGTTCTGTTACATTTCGTACTTTTTCTTTGCCTCCTTCACAAGACACTCGTGTGAAATGAAGCATTTTTTGCAGAGGACTTTGATTGATGCTCTTTGCCTCCAGCAGAGTTCAAGTTTTTTAAATGTCCAGCAGCAGAGACACCGCTGCAGAGTTCCAGCCTCAGACGAAAAAAAGGCAGAGTTTGGAGTCTTTTTGCAGAAGCTACCACTTTGAAAAAATTACTGTAACAAGTCTTTGTATCGCAGCAGCGGGTCCAGGCCTTCTTTGAAGCGGCTTAATTTGAATACTCCAGGGGGAGAAGGAGCACACGGTATTTGATCTCCAAGGTAAAACATGCTGCGCTGATGGGCTGAAGTGAAGGAGTTGAAGGTTATTAGATCGAATGGGTGCGGATGAGGCCGAGCTGTCGCATGCAGTTTGAACGCGGCCAAACTGAAGCCCTTGATGTCTGCGGTGATGAGGATGAGCAAGGATTAGAGCTGAAGCCCAAGTCGACTTGCTTCAGATTGATTTTAGGCAATTAGAAACCCTGCTGGATGTATGGACTCTGTGATTGACAGGTCATGTCTTGACTCTACGTGACTCGAGTGCATGAAAAACTGTGCAGTGTGTGCGTGTTTCTGTGATCGAATGATTGTCTATTATAGTGATGCAGGAGTTCTTTATAAATAAAGATGTTGAAGTAAATGTATACTTTAAACACACGCAGAAATCCAAAGTTAGCAGGCATACATTAATGTATTACTGTGAATCACACACACTCAAATGAAAGTTTATGTAGGCACTGGCAATGTGTAAACAAGCTGTTCAATGTTAATCACCTGTCAATCCAATGAACAGTGAATCTTTCATCCAGTTCTCTGTGTTGTTTTTACAGAGTTGTGAATCCTTCTGTTTCCTCTGTGTGGAACAATATGTCACATAACATAGATCTAGCCTAGAGCTGGGAAATGTGGCTAACACATATAATTGGAATCAATTTTCTATTTCTGCAAATAGAAAAAGGACATTCAAATTTGATTGAAACGCCATTTTTTGTTTAAGACTTGCCGTGCAAAGCTGTCATATGCATAGTTAAAAAAATACGTCGTCCCGCACAGCTATAAACTGTCAGAAAAACAGAGCGTGGACATATGATTTCATAATTAGTTTCAGCGCAGAGCAGAAAAGCCTGCACACTAATTCAGCTGCTCCTGCTGTTTGTGCTCCTTTAGCTGTCATGACTTTCACCTCTGGGATTACATCTCATCGGCAGATGCAAGCAGACTGAGCTTTTTTCTTCTTCTTATACATATGGGGACAGAATGATTAAATTTCTTTTTTTTTTTAAGTGTTTCCCAAGTGCTGTTAAACAGAGCAAGGTCGGAATTATTAGCTAACTGATGTTAGCAGTTGGTTTTGTATCAGTTTTGCTGGAGAATAGCTTGTAGTAATTGTTGTAGTTTTTCCAAGATAACCCCCAAATATTTAGACTCCTTCCTTATTTTTTAGATGATCGTTTGGGAAAGTGAGTCAAAACTTTTACCACCAGGAGGCAGAGAAAGTTTTAGTGTAGGACCCCCCTGGCAATGAGAAACAAGAAAAGGCTGCAACACTGTATCTATATCAGCAAAAATAAACTTAATGTGCGTCGTGGCAAACATTACGTTTACAGCATCTTAACAATCTATAGTAAAAGCTACTTAGTTAAGTGTCACAAGTCAGTCTGTTACTCTTGAAGAGCCATCTCCGGCACAACAAAGCTAATCAGAAGTTTGTTCTTGTTTACTCTTTGTGAGTGAGTGTGTATCAGAGGGCCACTTTCCCAATGCTTCGTGTTAGCTTTACCCATGCAACTATTTTTAAACACATGAATTCACAATAAGTAGCTTTAACCAGTTTTCCTTTTATTTTCACATTTATGTTTTCATCAAAAATATTATAAAATTTCAGCACATTTCAGAGATCCATCTGTAAACCTAGCCTTAGGCTGAGGGGACACTAGGCAGTTTTCCTAGCTGAGAGTTGTTTGGCTAAAATATCTGATTACATGAGAATGTCTTGCTTAGAAATGCAGATGCATTAAAAAAAGAGAATAAAAAGCCAGATCATGCTGAGACAATGACCAATGGTTTGGAAAAGGCATTTCAGAAAATACAGTTCCTCCTTTAGTCTTCACACAGCTTGTTTGAAAGCTTGAAAACAGAAGGTGCTTGGTCAACTCAGACTATAAAACACTACCTCTATTCAAAATCTTGCATTTTCATATGCAGATTTCTGTTTACAGAGATCATTAAAGGATAGATATTATCATTTATTTATACATTTTTAATGGCAAGAGGTCACAGGACAGAAAAATATAGACTGATGTAGACACGCTGTCATTGTGAATATATCTGCACACCCTTGGCGGGGTCTCATTAGCTGCTAGTACTCTGCCTGGATTCAGGATCTTCTAACAAATGACTTCAGATCCTAGTGGCAGACTCTGTGTTAATTTGGTATGATGGGCCCTCTGCTGAGCGCTGTGATGTGTGTGTATGTGTATTAGCATTTGAAAGCTATGGGTGAATTATTGAAGCCAGTGACATTTTCACCAGTGTTTTAAAGTGACATGACAGCGCTTTGATGACGAAACTTGCTGTGTGTGTGTTAACTAAGGGTTCAAGAACATTGTGTGTGCAGTGAGGGACTGTGGATGTTTTGAGGTTTTACTTGGAGAATTAGTGTACACTGTATTGCCAAGGTTATATGGTGAGTTTTCTGAACATCACCTAGGAGTTTTAAATATATACCATAAGTGCATCTACTATGAGGCTGAGGTGCATCACTGGCAGTTGCCAGTAATTTTATGTCTGCATTAGAAATCAAGAACCTAAGATCAGAAATGAGCATTCAAATGCACAATCAGCCCCACGGCCTAGTTAGTGAAGTTTAGACTTACTGTACTATAAAACTAGTTGGCCAGTAAGATGTTAGATTTTTGTTTTTGTGATCAGTTAGCCCAACAGCAGCTGCTAACTACAGCCTGACTGGTTTCCAGACTCATGCTGGACTTGAATGATACAAATGGACTGAAAGCTGGCTCGTGTGCAGCTCATGTCAGACTAAATCTGACAGACACATGTGGGCCAGAATCCGCTCACATTTGGTCAGCTGGAGCCAGAAAACCGACAAGTTCACTAAAACGTTCAACACCTGCATACTAAACTCTGCAGTCATACAGGCCACATGAAAGTCTCTGTCCTCCGCACTCTGTGTTTGAGCATTCATGTTCACACTGACCACAAGCTGGAATCCTGATGCAGCAGCACTTCACCCCACATACAGTAGATACAGATTTATTTTGGAACACTGCTAAGCAGGTCACACTGTTAGCCAAACTAGCATGAGCCAAGCTGGCAGCGTGTGTGACCTACATTCTCACATGCCGAGCGGTGTCCTAATCCAGGCTGTAGCAGAGCAGGAGGTGTTGTGTTGTTCAGAGAGGTCACCATGGAGCAACACAGTGACTCAGCGGCTTGAGGTGGATGTAAAGTAGCCGCAGTGGGTTCAAAACAAGGTCGCCTGCTTTCTAAAAAGGTCATCTAATTTTAGTGCGCACTAGTTTCCTTTCCGCAAAGCAGTAACAACAGAGTTAGATGGCAAGAAAATATAAAACTTTAATAAAAGTACATAAAACTAATGAGATGGAAATAGTAAAATAATTGTATCTTACCTCAGACACACAGCGAGACGCTGTTCCAGGTGTGTCGGTTCTCTGAAATAAATTCTCTGGCTCCTCAGAAGTTGTCCCAAATCTGCCCACAAGAGCTCAAACTGCCCCACTGACATCCTGACATATGTACGAACGCAGCCGTGACACAGCTTCAAGTCGTGGCTCGAACCGTGAAATTCTCCCTGCTGCTATCGTCTCATAAGAATTAGACGAACCCAAACTCTCCTTTTATTCCTTCTCTTGTTTAGGAATTCATCACTGCTTGATGTTAACTTCATTTTTTCACGGTTTGTTTTTTGACGATACATTTTCAGAACAACACATTTAGTGTATATGAATGTTACACGACAAGTTTGGAGCTGAAAAATATGGAATTTCGTGCCGCTTTTTCACAACGTGCTCAGTGTTTAATGGTCTTAAACAGTGCTTTAATTAGATCATGTTGTTTTTTGTAATTACAATGATTATCCCAATGTAATTCCGAAACACCACCTCTAACTACAAACACGCACATTTTACAAAAACTGAAGAGTTTATGCTTTTGAGGCAGAATTTAGGAAGCACTGCATTGTTGAGATACACAAGTGGGTAATTTGCATGTTCATCACATCACTAAACTTCAGTTATAAAAGTTTGTGACAGCTGATGTTATTTTAGCCCGGAGTCCGTCTGTCTGTCTTTGTGCATCTGAGCGGGTTTACAGCTTCTGAATTTAGTTCACCAATCTCAGTCAACAGCAAGTGTGATATAGAGCCAGTGTTACTCCCCGAAACACGAGTTTTCCATGTTTTTGCACACAAACATGGAACTGGTCCCTCGTGGAACTGACTCATGGTTAAAAGGGGGAATATGACATCCTTACCAGTTCTGCTTTTTCAGCAGTAGTACTCAGCAGATTTTTTTTGTTCTATAGTGCCTCTAGATTTATAGATACTACAGTAACTGGGGTCAGGTATGGCTTGTATATGTGTTTGTATGCTTATTATTTGATCACTTTTCTGATGTTTCATGATTTTTTTCTCTTGTTTGTGTGACTATAGGACATCTGTGAGGACATCTCAGATCATGTGGAGCAGATTCACGCCCTGCTGGAGACGGAGTTCTCCCTGAAACTACTGTCCTACTCTGTTAACATCATTGTTGACATCAGGTTGGTCTCCACAAGATGAGACATCATTTAAATTTCAGCACACAGTGTACAGCATAATTGTAAGAGTTACAATGTAATAACTCTATTATGTAGGTACTGGGTTAAAAAGAGTAGAGTAATGGATATAGCTGTTTTTAACGCCCAGTTGCTCGTTCTGTTCATATATCTAAGACCTACTATTAATTAATAATGGGTGCCCTTTTATTACAACAGCTCACAATCTGCCCACAAATCTAAGCAAAAATCTGAGAAAGATGAAGTGGTGGGAAAGTATTTAATATCTATGTATGTACAGTATACTGTTACTACAAAATGTTACAGTGTAACCCTGAAGAAATGACATTGCATGTTTTGAGTAACGGTCTGAAACATTAATGATGCAAAGCAGAAATGTAAGAATGTTAAAAACAGCTTCTTTCATAGTCATCGGGTTTCATAAGAAATACACAACGATGCACATGAGCTATCGGTAAACGTTGTACCTCTTGTGGTTTAGGACGGTGCAGCTGCTGTGGCACCAGCTGAGAGTCTCGGTTCTGGTCCTGAAAGAACGTCTGCTGCAGAGCCTGCAGGACTCCAACGGAAACTACACCCGGCAGACTGACATCCTGCAGGCCTTCAGCCAGGACCAGCACCAGGTATCAGACACACAGATGAACAAATCTCGTGTTTTAGACGCTCTTTTATTTTTAAATCAAGTATTTCTCAGCTCCAAAAGTTGCCTCTATCAGTGAGGTCTCAGTGAATTCAATCAAACAGACTGACTGTGTTTGGAATCACACTGAGAAGAAATAAATACATTTGTTAAATTTCACAGTGATAGTGTCTGATACATTAAAGTGGTTATTTCTTCATCTAGACCCGCCTGGACGCTCTGACAGAGGTAGACGATTGTGGTCAGCTGACTATCCGCTGCAGCCAAGACTACTTCTCTCTGGACTGTGGTATCACTGCCTTTGAGTTAAGTGACTACAGTCCCAGTGATGAACCCGAGGTCCGGGTAGCAGAGTCTAATAGTGAGGAAACCCTAAAGGAAATCAACCAAACCCAAGACCCAAACCAGGAACCAAGATCTGAGGAAAGTGGAGATCCCCATCTGTCAAACCACAAAATCCATAACAGTTTACCGGAACTCTCTTCTCCCAGTGACTCAACAAACCATAACCCTTCTTCATCTATTTTGCCCACAATGCAATGTGGCATGCCTAACCACAATGAAAGTGCGAAGCGCCCCCTGCAGGGTGAGTTCCACAGCACCGAAGTATCACCCACACAACCATCACTTCCCAAGAGAGCTGCTATGTTCCTAGATGGAGCATCCAGGGCGGAGGACTCAGTGGGAGGTTCGGAGAAGGTTAGCCCAGTCTCAGGGATCCAGTTCCAGTCTGAGCTGAGCCGAAGCACCCCGTCTCTCATCTCTGCCTCTCCTCCAGACCGCTCCAAGTTCTGGTTGGAACTGGACTCAGTTTATCCGGAAAATGTTTCACAGTCCTGCGAGAGCCTGCAGGTTTGTCCTCCTTTGTCCTTTGCTTTTTCACTTCAGTAACAACATTTATAAATGAAATGAACATAAATCCAGAACTGCAACAGAGACATTTTTACCTATTATGAAAACTACATGTACTGAAGATTTGCCAAAGAAAACCATTTGTTCAATTTCTGAAAAATAAAAACAAAACAGTAAAAACTTCAGGCAGGACGCTTAACTTTCGTAAGAAAATATTGCACCAACAAGCAGTAAATAGTTAATGTAACTAATCTTTACACAGATACAGCTGGATATAGATTTAAGGAAAACACAACTAATTTAAAACTTTCACAATTCACAAGGATATATTTGAAGTAATACTGGCTAATAGCAGAACATAAAGACCATATATTTTAATAGCTCAGGAGACGTGTTTGTTTCTTGGGGAACATTGAGAATGTCACAAATATAGTATACCTGCAGCAAAATACAAGACCCCACCGCCTACACAGCAGTAGGCATCCTTGTTTGCTGCCTCAGCGGTAAACTGTAGAATGTAAGTGAGTTGCAGTGAGTTGATGATGGCTGCATCCACAGATGGGTCTTGTAATAAAACAATGGACTCCAGCTGGCGTCACGACTATCGCCGTGACACAGAGGTAGCCTCATAACCTGAAGAGACAGAAGGATCTCTTGTTAAACCCACACATTCTTCTGTTTTGTCTTGCATTTCTTCCTATTGAGACAGAGATGGCTTTTTATTGATGTTAATTCTCTTCCACTATATGTACCCAGTGAACATAAAGAGCTTCAGAAACGTCATCATTAACTCAAATTTCCATTACAGGTGATGAATGGGTGCAACATACGTAGAAAAAATGCAAGCTCCAGATACGGAGGACACTCAGGTGGGAGTGCACAGAGGCTTCTGCCTGACCAGAGGAGCTCATCTGGGGCCAGACCAACCGCTGACGCCCCCCTGCCTTTGCAGGACCTGAAGTCTCAGAATGAAACATCAAATCAAATGGAGAGGATGCAGAAGGAGACACATACACATAGTGAGGGGGACTCTGATTCCTCCTTGCCTTCTCCCATGAGGGAGCAAGCTCTCTCTTCAGACTTGGAAGCATCAGGAGAGGAGTCGGACCCCCGACCGCCTCGTAGCAAGGCGGCGGTCTGGATTGTAAAGCGCCAGGGTCAGAGGGTGAGAGATTATTTCCTTTGTTTAGGAGAAAAGTTTGTGTTTTGTTCAGAGAGAGAAGGACAGAGGCATATTACAGAGCGTTTGTGTGTGTGGTAGCATTTTTCTCAGATTAATTGGAATTATTTGCCATCTGAAGTCAGTCTAAATCGACATCTATTCGTTCTCATTTCTTTCATTTTGATTAATTTATCATGTTTTAAAGTAGTGGAAACTTTTGTAGTTGATGTCTTCTCAAATCACAAGCATGCAGTACTATACTAATCACAATTTACCTGCAAGTATTCAGTTTAAATAAGAGCTGAGATCAGGAACTATGTGGTCAAAAACAGAAGACGAGGTTAGCAAGTACAGAAGTTTGACAATTGCACGTACTCAATGTTCCACTGTATGTTTATTTCCTACTTTCTTGTCTGATAGGGTCCCCAAGTCTCATCCAAAGGCAGCCCAGACAGGGAGCACTGGTATGGGTCAGAAGAGTTCCTGGCTCTCCCTGCTCAGCTCCGCAAAACAGAAATGCTTGCTATGAAACTAGAAAGTCTGACTCAGACCGTCCCCTTGGTTAGTTAACAACTAGGATCCTGAATACTGTGTCTGACTGTCCATCATTGTAATCTAAACTGCAACCACTATTGCTCTTTTTACATCTAACTGCAGAGGCCAGGTGGCTCTACCCAGGATGTGGATGATTGGGATTTGACTGAGCTCAACCCGGACTGGGATGTAGGAGAGAGCGGGGACAATGTGAGCAGTGTAGTGGATAGTGGGGAAGACATTCCTTCTCCTCTGCCATCGCTGGTATGAAAATAGTTTCTTTGTGTGTTTTAACTCCAAAAAAAAAACTTGTTGAAGCTGAACGAATGTTCCAATAATGTCGACTTGTGCATCCTCCTGCAGGTTACTCGCAGGCGAAACCTGCTTGGCCGCTTTAGCCCCAGTTCCTCGAGCGATGTTGCACCCTCCCTGGATGAAAGCATCGAGTCGGGCCCGTTAAGTGACCTGCAGTCTGAAGAGGATGAGGGGCGAAGGTCAGCAGAGCATCAGCCTCCGCTGACCCTGCCCCCGTTGAGAGGGCGTGAATGCGCGTCTCTGGTGCAGCAGCTGCTGGAGGACATTCACAGTCACGACAAAGACCCTGATATCTGGAAGAAGATTGAGGTATTCCTATCTAGTCTTCACGTTGTCTGTCTGTGTTCAGGCTTTGATACATATGTAGCTCATTCCCTCTACTGTCATTTACAAGTTTGGGGGCATTTCTCATCCCATGAAAATGAGCTTTCCTAGAAGCTTCATTTCGTTTTTGTTCTACTGCAAACATCCAGCTTCACACTGAGCCCCAGCTTGGTATTTTTTACCTTCCTAAGTATCCTCTGATGCTCAATCCAATACATTTTTACACCTCTGACTGTATTAAAACAGTAATATTCCTTATTAAAAATTACTACCTGTAATTACTTTTAAGTCTGGGGTGGTAATTTATGCCAGCACAGTTACGTTGCAGTGGAATTTCTCCTGCTACTTAAGGAGAAATCCTTCTTTGTCTTCATTTTTGATGATGACGCCATTGCAGTTTTCTATTTTTCCGAATATACTGTAAGCAAAACAACAACTCTTAGGAATGTTGACTGATTTCTGTTTGAGATATTTTGCTCTATGATTGTGTGGGCGGTTTACTCTTTAACATTTCGTCATCATCGCGATTATTGGAGCAAAGTATTCTGACTTATTAACCAGTCCACACAGACAATGTTTTAACCTCCATCACTGAACGTACAGAGACTCGCCCACACATGACTTTAAGTGTAGTCTATTTTCTTCCAGTAATACTTGTACAACTGTATTTTTTGGACCATAAGGCGCACTGGATTATAAGGTGCATTAAGTGAAACAAAGCAGTCAGATAAGTCAAACTTTACTCAACTCATTCTTCTTGCTTCCTCCACTTTCGTACCATTGATTCATTAATGTTGAATCCTCTCGCAGCTGCTCTGTTCCCATGTTGTTGCAGTATATTAATGACTAACCTGGTATTGTGGATGGATTATTTCAGTTGTTCTCCTGACTGAAGTTTGGTCCGTTTACAGCATCCTGCCATGCGATTACATTTGTCCCTAACCATCGGGAACCCAACTTTTATTGAGTGGAAAAAAAGTTAGCTTCACTGTTTATGTTATGCTAACATAGCTTTGTCTCTAGCGATCATGTAGCACATCATTATATACCAGCTAGTCCAATTTCAGTAACCCTACAAACGTCACTGCTGTTTAGTTTTCAGTCTTCTTTATGTTGGAAGTGACAGCAGAGCATATACGTTTTAGTTTTTTCAAAAATCTCTCAGTCAGAACATGCTATATCATGTTTAGGTGGAAACTAGCGAGCTAACTTCCTGCTAACTTCTAACTCCGTTAAATTTAATAAATTCTGTTTTCATGGATGCCTGGATGTTAAACTCAATTGTTACACCTGGTAAAGCACCAACGCTGATCATTTTATTAAAGGTGAAAGAATTTAGACAGTTTTTAACTCTCAGTGATGCCGCAGTGTTCGTTTGACTTTGGGACCTGAAGGAGACTACAGTAGCTGTAATGCTTCGACAATCCATCAACCATTGCGGCTTCGTAGCATATCAAAGTTGTACTAAAACATTTTTTGACAGACTTTTGAGCGCCGTGTACCACATAAAATCGGTTCGAGGTCAGTAAGCCCAGCAGAATTCATACATAAGGCGCACCGGATTATAAGGTACACTTTCGATAAAAAAATAATAAAATAAAATGAAAGGATTTTAAGTGCGCCTAATGCAGAAATTATGCTAAGTCATATTTTACATAAGTCATCCACAGCAAACTGTGCAAATGACAAAATTAACTATTGATCTTATCACAAGCATCAACATTTCTGCACTCAGTTTAAAATCTGTGTAAAAGCACCTGCGATTAGTAGGAAGGGTATTTGAGCATAAGGCATATGTTACTTGCACATTTTTGAGGCCGCCTTTAATGCTAAACGATATTTACAGATTTGTGCATAACATATGCCAACATCCAGTTGACATGTTTTTTTAGGGTCTTGCTTTTTTCAGCAATGCCATAAACAGGCTCAAGGTGTCTGACAGGGAGGCAGCCTGCATAAGATGTTCACTTAAATAAAGTATAATTTAAAAAAAACAACTAAAATAAATAAAGTTCAAGAGAGTGAACAGGTCATCTGGGCCAGCTCTTACAATCTGGAGGCCACAGTGAGCTCAGTGAACCTACAACGTCGGCCAGTTATCAGTAAGAATAGGCCAGGACTTCCTTGTGATGTGGGCGGGGCATAACACAACAACTCCAAAGTAGATTTTGCCTGTACCTCAATAGAATGGCTCAAGGGTGCTAAACTAACCTGCCAAAAGTAAAACTTGGAATGTTTGTGTTTCACTGCTGTAGCTGGTTTTTACTGCCAGTCTGTGAGATAGATCTCTGCACTTTCATTTAGACAAAAGATGACAAGTTGAAACAAAATCAGTCCAACATCCACTTTTGCCCCTTCAATGAAGCTACCTTGATGGATTGGAAGGCTAGTATCGGATTGTCCACTGGCCCTGCTAATTCATCACCTCACTTCAAAAGGTCACGTTTGATTGGCAGGCAGATTATTGATGAGGTTTGCCTGGTGAACTAATCAGTCATATCTGTCATATTGAATATCGTGAAATGCCAATAGCTCTGGGGATAAGTTCCTATCATGGCTGCTTGTTTAATTAGTGCTATAAAGTGGCTCTGTCGCCTTTAATATTTCTTTATTGTTTTATTTTACTCAGGCTTATTTCACTCTCTCACCTTTATTGCCTTAATATTACAATTCTTAATACCCTCGACTCCCCAGGCAACATTTTACTTTGCTGCTGTAACATCTCAGTTTCCCCTCAGGGATCAATGAAGTTCATCGTGCCCATCTTATCTGGTGCTAGCCGGGTCAGGAGCCCACCTACAGAATTGGACAGCTGTAATAAGATTAACAGTGAGAATGGTCAGGGTCCTTTTGAATCAGTCTGAGAATTAAAGTGTCAGCTGTGTGAGGGGATGTCCTTGGAAATGGGGATCAGTGACCCGGAGGGTTATAAATTCATTCCCCACATTAAATTCTGTCCTCCATGTTACCAAATTGGCCAGATTGGCCATAATAGTGACTATTAATGATGATTTGACTGTTGAAATGTCAAAGTTGCCCTCTTTTTTTGCTTTTCCTTTTTTGATGTCAGTCTTTGGTAGAACGCTGGTGCTGTAGTGAACCCCCTGGTCTGCAGCTGCCTTTCTGGATCCACTTTGCATGGTCTTTGCATCTGCCACTGTTGGTTTCCTCTGGGTTTACATGCCTGCTACATTAATTGGTGATTCAAAATAGTTTTTGTTTTGCCCCAATAATAGACTGGTGAGTCTGTGTCTCAACTTATGACAGCTGGGAGATGCTCCATCCTTTTAATGGCCCTAAGCTGGTCAAGCGATCAAGAAAATGAATGAATGGATAATCAATATCAAGCTCAATCTCATGTGTTAACTTAAAGGAAGACAAATGGGAATCAAATCACAGTGTACTAGTAATTTCAAAGTGTCCCACATTGGTGTAATGTTTCCCACATCCCTGAGTATGTGAGGATCTGCTTGGGTATGAGGAATGTAAATTTCAAGGTCAGAGGGTGAATTGTGTTTGATGCCTTGCCATTAGAAAACATTGTTTTAGCTCATGGTGCATTCAGGCTTTCCCTGAATGTTACTAACAGGAAGGAATAATAAAAAAAAATCACATTCAGACAACACCCGGCGCAGAGCATTGAGTAAAAAACATGTAACTCCAGAGAGTTACAAAAATAAACAAAGATTCCTAATTTTGAATTAAAACATAATAAACAAACACAAAAAAATCCTCCCAGAATCAGGAATTATACCCTGCTGTCTTGCAGAACACCTTGTGTTAACCACACACACATAAGCACACACACACACACACTCCTCATTCCTCTCTGCTCCTGGGTAATTAGCTGATTAGCTGCTTAATTAGCAGCATGTAATCATGGCGATGGATGAGCTGCCTAATTGAGGAAGTGAAGAGAGGAGAAGGAGCGTCTCAGTGTGGAGGGTGACATTCTGTCTCTCTGCAAAGAGTCTCTACTGAATACAACCGAGCAGATTAACATAGAATGAAAAATCATCCGTCCAGGGAAGAGAAACTGTGGAAAGATCACTGTTGGAGCAGAAATGAGTCAAATCTAGGAGCAGAACACGAATATAATACGTCCGGCACCTCTCGTCTTCTCGGGGGAGAAGCTCATGGTTGTGTTTGCAGGTGGAGTTGAGGAAATTTGATTAGAGCAGAGACAAACTGAGTAGAAACTCTGAAATGTCAGTAAAATATAACAGGAAAGGGGCAGATATTTACCTTTATCCTCATGGATTTAGTTCCTTTAATCATAGAGGAACCATAAAAAAGCTTACCTAAGCAACACTTTGTTGCTTAGTTGATTGTTCTGATTATTGCGTATGATCTGAATACTAGTAGATCAGATCAGTTTAAGTGAGTACAGTGGAACCCCGGCTTACGAAGACCCCATTTAACGAAAAATTCAAGTTACGAAGGCACTTAAGGGCAATATTTCTGCCCGTGGTACGGCAAAATGCCCGCGTAACGAAATAGATAGAATGGAAAATTACAAAAAAATTCAATTCAATTCCATAATGTTATGTACATGTACACATACGTATGTATGCATGCATATGTATGCGTTCTTCAACCTCTGCCACCTCCTCCTCCACCAAGAACTTCGTCTTCAGCCAGCATCGCCTCACTCCAAAGGCGATGGAAAAAGGTGCTTTGACATACAAAAATTTTGACTTACGAAAGACCCTCTGGAACGAATTAATTTCGTAAGTCGGGGTTCCACTCTATATTCATTTTGAAGCTTCAGCCTCAGAGGTTTGGACGTCATTGTGTTGGGTTTTTGGATGATCAGGACAATGGAGCATTAAGTGATGAGCTAAGGTTAGCATGATTGATTAACTGTGTGGTTGCAACAGATCCCCATCTGATCTGCTACTGCTACTGACTCAGTATAATAAAATGTCGTAATTTCACTCACACAAATGTGAAGCATAAACTTCTTTAAACTTCACAGCGGGCCA